CTGTCTTCATAATTCCAACTTTGTAGTACAGCCTGAAATCTGGCATTGTAATGCCCCCGGCTCTGGTTTTCTTTTTCAGTATTCCCTTGGCTATTTGGGGAACTGGGCGGTATTATGCTGAGTGAAGTTAAGTCAATCGGACAATCATCATGTGGTTTCACTCATACGGGGAATATAAAAAATAGTGAAAGGGATTATAGGGGAAAAGAGAGAAAATGAGGGGGAAAAATTAGAGAGGGCGACAGAACATGAGAGACTCCTAACTCTGGGAAAGGAACAAGGGGTAGTGGAAAGGGGAGGTGGGTGGGGGGATGGGGTGACTGGGTGACGGGCGCTGAGGGGGGCACTTGACGGGATGAGCACTGGGTGTTATACTATATGTTGGCAAATCGAATTTCAATAAAAACATACATTAAAAAAAAGAGTCAGAAGTCAGAGGGGAGGAGGGGACCTGGAGTCCTGAGGGGAGGGAGGGGGGGAGAGGAGGGAACCGGCGGAGACCCCGCCCCGGCCCACGTGACCCGGCCCCGCCCCCAGAGGCGGCCCCGCGCGGAGGGGGAAGGACGCGGAGCTGTCGGGCGGGACCGCGGGGCCCGAGCGTCTGCGCGGCGGCAGCTGCTCTCACCCGGGCCGGACGGAGCGGGCAGCGGGCACCATGGAGCCCCCCTCGGCCTCTCCCCGAGCAGGGCGCGGCCCCTGGCAGGAGCTCCTGCTGGCAGGTGAGGGGGCCGATCCCCTGGGAGGGGCGGGAGGACGGGGGAGCGGCGGCCTGGGGCCTCGGGGTGGGGGTGGGGGACGGGACGGGGCTCCGCAGGGGACGGGGCGGCGGGCGGGGCGGGGGAGCCGGCTCAGCGGCGGGACGGCCTCGGGATCTGCAAGTGGGGAGTGAGGGGCTGGGTCCCAAGGGCCGTCTCACCGGGGACTCAGTTTTGCAAGCCGACGGCAACCACACCAGGGACCCCAAACCCTGCCCTTGCCACCACCCTGGGGTCCTGACCGATAAGCGCCAGACTCGGAGGGCCCTGGGGACGCTCAGCCCTGGGTATTTGCAGCCGGGCCACCCGGGGGTACAGCACAGAGCAGACCAGTCCCTGCTCCCTGAGCTCACTTCTCTGGGAGGAAGACAGACCCATAGAGACATCTAGAATGTCGGTTGACCATAAAGTTGAGGGTCCACTTCTGGGTTCTCTATTCTGTTCCATTGTTCTGTGTCTGTTTTTGTGCCAGTACCACACTGTCTTGATGACCACAGCTTTGTAGTACAACCTGAAATCCGGCATTGTGATGCCTCAGCTATGGTTTTCTTTTTTAAAATTCCCCCGGCTATTCGGGGTCTTTTCGGATTCCACACAAATCTTAAGATAATTTGTTCTAAGTCTGAGGAAAGTCCATGGTATTTTGATAGGGATTGCATTAAACGTGTAAATTGCCCTGGGTAACATTGACATTTTCACAATATTAATTCTGCCAATCCATGAGCATGGAATATTTTTCCATCTCTTTGTGTCTTCCTCAATTTCTTTCAGAAGTGTTCTATAGTTTTTAGGGTATAGATCCTTTACCTCTTTGGTTAGGTTTATTCCTAGGTATCTTATGCTTTTGGGTGCAATTGTAAATGGGATTGACTCCTTAAATTCTCTTTCTTCAGTCTCATTGTTAGTGTATAGAAATGCCACTGACTTCTGGGCATTGATTTTGTTTCCTGCCACACTGCCAAATGGCTGTATGAGTTCTAGCGATCTTGGGGTGGAGGCTTTTGGGTTTTCTACGTAGAGTATCATGTCATTGGCAAAGAGGGAGAGTTTGACTTCTTCTTTGCCAATTTGAATGCCTTTTATTTCTTTTGTTGCCTTTATTGCTGAGGCTAGGACTTCCAGTACTATGTTGAATAGCAGTGGTGAGAGTGGACATCCCTGTCTTGTTCCTGATCTTAGGGGAAAGGCTCCCAGTGCTTCCCCATTGAGAATGATATTTGCTGTGGGCTTTTTGTAGATGGCTTTTAAGATGCTGAGGAATGTTCCCTCTATCTCTACACTCTCAAGAGTTTTGATCAGGAATGGCTGCTGTAATTTGTTAAATGCTTTCTCTGCATCTATTGAGAAGATCATATGGTTCTTGTTTTTTCTCTTGCTGATACAATCAATCACATTGATTGCTTTATGAGTGTGAACCAGCCTTGCATCCTGGGATAAATCCCACTTGATCATGGTGAATGTCATGTCAGGTACTGAAAAGGCCCTGAAGGGAACAGAGGAGGGAAAGGTCAGAGTGTGAGGACAGAAGGTCCTCAGAGGAGGCGTCAGGGCAGGCCTCTCCCAGGGACCCCCTGAGTGTGAGCAGGTATCTGAGGTCAGTGATGGACTGAGCCACAGACATCTGAGGAAGAACATACAAAACAAAGGAAATTAAGTTCAAAGGCCCAAAAGCAATGTCATCATGCCACTGACTTGACCAGCATGAGACACAGAGACACCCAGAAACGGGTGCACACTCACACACACACCTGGAGGCTGGGGGATTAGGACCTGCTCCATATCCAGGGCCCCAGCTCTCCATCCCAACACATAGGTCCAAACACTGATCCGTCCCCTTTCTTCCCTCCTAGTCTCACTCTTAATCTCCTGGAACCCGCTCACCACTGCCCAAGTCACTGTGGAGTCCGTGCCTCCCAATGCTGCTGAAGGGAAGGACGCTCTTCTGCGGGTCCTCAATCTGCCTGGGGATACAGCAGGCCTTACCTGGTTCAGAGGGGAAATTGTAGCACCTGTCCATCAAATTGTATTATATGTAGTAGACACACGAGTAATTACCCCGGGGCCTGCACACAGTGGCAGAGAGATAATATACCCCAATGGATCCTTGCTGTTCCAGAACATCACCCTGAAAGACACAGGATCCTACATCTTACAAATCATAAACAGAAAATTTGAAACTGCACTAGTACCTGGACAGCTCCGAGTATTCCGTGAGTAATTCCTCTCTCACCTCTGGTGTCGGGTGGGGGGATTCTACCTCACACACACAGGATTCACAGGCCTGCACTGGGCCTCCATCCCTCTCTGCATTATGTCCCTGTAGTGGTTCAAGCATTTAGGTGGGGACCCACACACACTGGAGACACATTTCCTGAGATACGAATTCCTTTCCTGGAATCCAGACTCTTGTGATCACCTGACAGAGACCCTGCAGGACTCATTCAAGGCCATGCCTGAGGGATCCTCCCCAGACCTCAGCCCAGAAAGCCTCTGCCCAGACCACTGTCTTGGGGCCCCTGATTCTGGTGACTCTGGGAGTCTGTGCCAGTATGGGGTTAGGGCTCCTGTGCAGAGCTGACTGGGAGCAAGGAATTCCCGAAAGCTGAAGCTGGTCTCCAGCCAAGTGCTCAGTGTCAAGAGCCACATGAGGGGAGTGGCAGGACCTGGGCCTTCACCTGAGGCTCAGAATGGACAGCACAGACATAACAGGTCCCCAGTCCATTGGCCAACTGCTGTGGGGGACTGGGGGCCTCCAGAGGAAAGGCAGCTCCTCAGGGAGCAACAGAGCAGTGAGATGCTCCTGGCAGCTCCTCCTCCACCCAGATTCAGGCCCAGGGAGCCCTCTCCTGTGGGGCAAGCAGGAACAGAGGCCATTTGATTGACCAGCTGCTATGGACAAAATTTAAATCAGATATTTCAGGATGTTAAAACTTAATTCACAGGCCTGGCAAGCAGACATCATCTACCGTTCGTTATTCCTCTTGCATTCTGGGGAAACCAAGGCACAGGGAGAAATAGTCACTGAATCGGGGTCACACAAACTGATGAGCAGCACATCAGTCACCCAAGTTCTCTGCAAACCCAGCCCCATTGTCTCCTCCGTCAGTGGGAGGGATGCTGGTCTGGGCAGTGAGACCAAATGGAGGCTCACTCCAGTTTACTCAGAATGACCTGCCTCAGCAATCAGAGGGAGAATGCCCCTGCCCCCCCCCCACCCCAGGGGGCTCATCCTTACCTGCCTGGGCTGAACTTGAAATCAGATTGTTTCCTGATGTGTTGCTGTGGCTCCCACTGGGGTGTAAGGGATGGGACTTGCCTTCTCCTCCCGACTCTGCACCTGAAACCAGCACACGGTCCACGGGTCCACGCGTAACAGACTCAGTTGCTTTTGCTTAGGAGGGAAGGAGTGGATGGTGGGGGATTCTCTCCCGCTGGAGGGCAGGGAGCCTGTGTGGCCAGACCTCCTGGGATCCTGCACCCAGGACCCCTCTCTGAAGAGATGATGGATCATTCATCGCTCACCACCCCTGCTTCCTGCTCATTCTCTGGCTCTTTGCTTGGCGGTTGGACTCGGCTCTGCCATGTAAGGGGTCACTGCCTCATGTCACTCGTTATCAAACGGCCAGGGGGTGCTACGTCTCCATGCCGCGGTGGGGCGGGGGCGCTGAGAAGTGAACTGACCTCTGGGCTTGTTCCTGGTTTCTTCAACAGTAATTATTGCTCGGAACCCATTCTCTAGGGCAGGCCGGCAGGTCTGTGATGAACCAGGAGAGGTCCAGGGCTCTCTGCATTTGTCCCAAATACTGACCAAATACTGCTCTGTAATCCACATTTGAGAGGGCCTGTGCTTTCAGGCACACAGAGCAGGGGCCTTACCTTCTCTCAGTGCTCTGATCTGCATGCATTTGTCTTGAGATACACACTTGCCTTATTCTTTTAAAGACTCAGTTTGGCTGAGAGCTACAGATGCCAACTCTGACTCATGATACCTGTGGAAAGAGGTGCCTGGGGCCTCAGTTGGTTAAGCATCTGCTTTCAGTTCAAGTCATGATCCCAGGGAGCTGGGTTCGAAGCCTGGGTGGGGATCCCTGCTCAGTGGGGAATCTGCATCTCCTTCTTCCTCTGCCTGTTCCTCCCCTTGCTTATGTGCTCTGTCTCTCTCTAATAAATAGAATCTTTTAAAAAAATGTCTGCTGAGGAATCACAGGTACCACACAGGGCAATGTCTCTCTGTTGTCTGCACAGCGGAGTTACATAAACCCAGCATCACAAGCAACAACTCCAGCCCCGTGGAGAATGCGGATTCTGTAGTGTTAATGTGTGAAGTTCAGACTCAGAGCACAAGCTGCCTGTGGTCAGTAAACAGTAAGAGCCTCCCGGACAGTCCCAGGCTGGAGCTGTCCCTGGACAACAGGACTCTCACTGTACATGGTGTCACGAGGAATGACACAGGACCCTATGAGTGTGAAACTCGGAACCCAGTGAGTGCTGATCGTAGTGACCCATTCACCCTGAATGTGCTCTGTAAGTAACTTCTGTTCCTACCTGGTCCAGGCTGTCAGCTCAAGTCAACACAGCCAGAGGCCAAGCCACATCCCTCCTTTTGGGGTCCATGTCCATGACCCTCAGCTGGACACCCAGCCTGGCCATGGCTTCTTGTCCTGCAAATTTGGGCAGGCTCAGCCTGAACAAGACTAGAAGGGGATGGGCTGCTCCTTCCTGAGAGGGTCAGCAGCCTGGGAGGGGAAACAGCTTCATGTCTCAGACCCAGGCTCAGTGAACACAGAGGGCTTCTTGTTGGGACATTTTATAATTTTGTTTTATTTTAAAGATTTTATTTATTTATTTATTTATTTATTTATTTATTTATTTATTTATTCATTCATGAGAGAGAGAGAGAGAGAGAGAGAGAGAGAGAGAGGCAGAGACACAGGCAGGGGGAGAAGCAGGCTCATGCAGGGAGCCTGATGTAGGACTCAATCCTAGGACTCCAGGATCACACCCTGGGCCAAAGGCAGGCGCTAAACCGCTGAGCCACCCAGGGATCCCCTGGTTGGGACATTTAAAAACAAGGTTGGGACCCAGCTTAGAGGGACACTGTGGCTCTTATGCAGACTAGGAGGTTCCCCTTCCCTGGGATTCTATCCTGTGTGGCTTTATTCTGTTTGCTCCAGATGGCCCGGACACACCCACCATTTCCCCTTCAGACTCCTACTACCGTCTAGGGGCAAACCTCAGTCTCTCCTGCCGCACAGCCTCTAACCCACCTGCACAGTATTCTTGGCTTATCAATGGGAGACTCCCGCCATTCACACAGGAGCTCTTTATCCCCAACATCACTGCCAACGATAGCGGATCCTATACCTGCCTCGTCTATAACTCTGGCACCTGCCTCAATAAGACCACAGTCAAGACCATCACCGTCTCTGGTAAGTGCATCCCTGGAGCATCTGTACTGAGCACTGTGGTGAAGGTCTGTGTGCTTTTCAAAAAAGAGCCTATACAAGTTATTTCCCATTTGCTTGACATGGTCAATCCCTAGGTCTGTCCCTCAACTCTCCCATGACATGTCTGCAGGCACTTCCTCCCCTTACTCTCAAATTTTTCATTGCAGACCTTGAGTTCCGCCTGGAACATGGAGAGAAGGGTTCTCAGCTCCAGAGAGCCCTATACACAAAGAGGACTTTGCAAATAGGGAAGAAAGAAGGATCCTCAAGTTCAAGTTGTTTTTTTGTTGTTGAATTGCAGAAGTGCTTTATATATTCTGGATGTTAACCTCTTACCAGATATGAGTTGCAAATGTTTCCTTCCAATCCATTCATTGCTGTCACTTTTTATTTTTTAGTGAACTTTAATGTGACACTATATGACATGAACACAATGTGACATTAGTTTCGGGTGTGCAACATAGTGATCGAACAACTCTATACATTATACTGTGCCACACAATGTAACTCCCACCCATCACCATGCAGCCCCATTAGAATATATTGACTGTATTTCATATCCTGTTCATTCCATAACTAGTGATACCACTCTGACAATTGTGTTTGGATGCACAGAAGTTTTCCATGTTGATGCAATCCCATTCATCTGTTTTTTCTTTTGTTGTCTTTGCTTTGGGTGTCATATCTAAGAAATCATTGGGAAATCCAGTCTCAATAAGTTTTGTGTTTTCTTTTAAGACTTTTACAGTTTAGACTCTTATGTTTAGCTGTCTGATCTTTTTTTATTTCTTTTAAAAAATATTTTATTTAAATTAAATTTGCCAACAGTGCTCATCCCATCAAGTGTCCTCCTTAGTGGCCATCACCCAATTACCCCATATCCCGACCCTCTTCCCCTTCTGCAAACCTTTGTTTGTTTCCCCAGAGTTAGGAGTGTGTCATGGTCTGTCTTCCTCTCTAATTTTTTCCCACTCAGTTTCCCTCCTTTCCCTTATAGTCTCTTTCACTATTTCTTATACCACACATATGATTGAAGCCATAGGATAATTGTCTTTCTCCATTGACTTATTTCACTCAGCATAATACCCTCCAGTTCCATCCACATTGAAACGAATGGTAGGTACTAGTCCTTTTTGATGGCTGAGTAATATTCCATTGTATTCCATTGAAACGAATGGTAGGTACTAGTCCTTTTTGATGGCTGAGTAATATTCCATTGTATCCAAAGATACACCACATCTTCTTTATCCATTCATCTGTTGAAGGATATTGTGGCTTCTTCCACAGTGTGGCTATTGTGGACATTGGTGCTATAAACTTTGGGGTGCAGGTGTCTCGGCTTTTCACTGCATCTGTATCTTTGGGATAAATACTCAGTAGTGCAATTGCTGGGTCATAAGGAAGCTCTATTTGTAACTTCTTGAGGAACCTCCACACAGTTTTCCAGAGTGGCTACACCAGTTCACATTCCCACCAACAGTGCAAGAAGGTTCCCTTTTCCATATCCTCACCAATATTTGTTGTTGTTTCCTGCCTTGTTAATTTTCCCCATTCTCACTGGTGTGAGGTGGTATCTCATTGTGGTTTTGATTTGTATTTCCCTGATGGCACGTGATGTGAAGCATTTTTTCATGTGCTTATTGGCCGTGTGTAGGTCTTCTTTGGAGAAATGGGTGTTCATGTCTTCTGTCCATTTCATGATTGGATTGTTTGTTTCTTGGATGTTGAGTTTGATAAGTTCTTTATAGATCTTGGGTACTAGCCCTTTATCTGATATGTTATTTACAAATATCTTCTCCCATTCTGTAGGTTGTCTTTTAGTTTTGTTGACTGTTTCCTTTGCTGTGCAGAAGCTTTTTATCTTGATGAAGTCCCAATAGTTCATTTTTGCTCTTGTTTCCCTTACCTTCGTGGATATGTCTTGCAGGAAGTTTCTGTGGCCAAATTCAAAAAGGTTGTTGCCTGTGTTCTCCTCTAGGATTTTGATGGAATCTTGTCTCACATTTAGATCTTTCATCCATTTTGAGTTTATCTTTGTGTCTGGTGTAAGAGAATGGTCTAGTTTCATTCTTCTGCATGTGGCTGTCCATTTTTTCCAACACCATTTATTGAAGTGATTGTCCTTTTTCCAGTGAATATTCTTTCCTGCTTTGTCGAAGATGAGTTGACCATAGAGTTGAGGAACCATTTCTGGGTTCTCTCTTCTGTTCCATTGATCTATGTGTCTGTTTTTATGCTAGTACTATACTGTCTTGGTGATCACAGGTTTGTAATAGAGCTTGAAGTCAGGCATTGTGATACCCCCAGTTTTTTTTTCAACATTCATCTGGCTATTTGGGGTCTTTTCTGGTCCCATACAAACTTTAAGATTGTTCCAATTCTGTGAAGAAAGTCCATGGTATTTTGATAGGGATTGCATTAAATATGTAAATTGCTCTGGGTAGCATTGACATTTTCACAATATTTATTCTTCCAATCCACGAAGATGAAATGTTTTCCCATCTTTTTATGTCTTCCTCTATTTCTTTCATAAGTGTTCTGTAGGTTTTAGAGTATAGATCCTTTACCTCTTTGGTTAAGTTTATACCTAGGTATCCTATGGCTTTGGGTGCAATTATAAATGGGATTGATTCCTTAATTTCTCTTTCTTCAGTCTCATTGTTAGTGTATACAAATGCAGCTGATTTTTGTGCACTAATTTTGTATCCTGCCACATTACTGAATGGCTGTATGAATTCTAGCAGTCTTCAGGTGGATGGAATCTTTTGGGTTTTCTATATACAGTATCATGTCATCTGTGAAAAGGGAGACTTTGACTTCTTCTTTGCCAATTTGAATGCCTTTTATTTCTTTTTGTTGCCTGATAGCTGAGGCTAGGACTTCTAGTACTATGTTGAACAACAGTGGTGATAATGGATATCCCTGTCATGTTCCTGATCTTGTGGAAAGGCTCTCAGTTTTTCCCCATGAGAATGATATTTGCTGTGGACTTTTCATAAATGGCTTTTATGATATTGAGAAATGTTCCCTCTATCCCTATGATTTGAAGAGCTTTGATCAGGAATGGATGCTGTATTTTGTCAAATGCTTTCTCTGCGTCTATTGAGAGGATCATATGTTTCTTGTCTTATCTTTTATTGATGTAATCTATCACATTGATTGCTTTATGAATGTTGAACTACCTTTGCATCCCAGGAATAAATCCCAGTTGGTTGTGGTGAATAATCATCTTAATGTACTGTTGGATCCTATTGACTAGTGTCTTGGTGAGAATTTTTACATCCATGTTCATCAGGAAAAGTGGTCTATAATTCTCCTTTTTGGTGGGGTCATTGTCTGGTTTTAGGATCAAGGTAATGCTGGCTTCATAGAATGAGTTTGGAAGTATTCCCTCCTTTTCTATCCTTTGAAATAGCTTTAGTAGAATAGGTATTATTTCTTCTTTAAATGTCTGGTAGAAAAGAAGCATACACATGGCCAACAAACATGAGAAAATGCTCCGCATCACTTGCTATCAGAGAAATACAAATGAAAACCACAATGAGATACCACCTCACACCAGTGAGAATGGGGAAAATTAACAAGACAGGAAACAACAAATGTTGGAAAGGATGTGGAGAAAGGGGAACTCTCTTGCACTGTTGGTGGGAATGTGAACTGGTACAGCCAATCTCGAAAACTGTGTGGAGGTTCCTCAAAGAGTTAAAAATAGAACTGCCCTACAACTCAGCAATTGCACTGCTGGGGATTTACCCCAAAGATACAGATGCAGTGAAAGGCCAGGACACCTGCACCCCGATGTTTATAGCAGCAATGTCCACAATATCCAAACTGTGGAAGAAGCCTCAGTGTCCATTGAAAGATGAATGGATAAAGAAGATGTGGTTATGGAATATTAATCAGCCATTAGAAACAACGAATATCCACCATTTGCTCCGACGTGGATGGAACTGGAGGGTATTATACTGAGTGAAGTAAGTCAATCGGAGAAGGGGAAACGTTATGTGGTTTCATTTATATGGGAAATATAAGAAAGAGTGAAAGGGATTATAGGGGAAAGGAGAGAAAATGAGTGAAAATATCAGAAAGGAAGACAGAACATGAGAGAATCCTAACTCTGGGAAACGAACAAGGGGTAGTGGAAGGGGAGGTGAGCAGGGAGATGGGGTGACTGGGTGACGGGCACTGAGCGGGGCACTTGACGGATTGGACACCGGTGTTATGCTATATGTTGGCAAATTGAACTCCAATAAAAAATACAAAAAAAGTAAATATTTGGTAGAATTCCCCTGGGAAGCCATCTGGCCTTGGAGTTTTGTGTCTTGGGAGGTTTTTGATGACTGCTTCCATTTCCTCACTGGTTATTGGCCTGTTCAAGTTTTTTATTTCTTTCTGTTTCAGTTTTGGTAATTTGTCGGTTTCCAGGAATGCATCCATTTCTTCCAGATTGCCTAATTTGTTGGCCTATAGTTACTCATAATACATTTTAAAAATCATTTGTATTTCCTTGGTATTGGTTGTGATTGCTCCTCTTTCATTCGTGATTTTACTAATTTGAGTCTTTTTTCTTTTTAATAAGTCTTCAGAGGGGTTTGTCTATCTTATTAATTCTTTTGAAGAACCAGCTCCTGATTTTGTTGACAGTTCTTCTGGTCTCTGTTTCATTGAGTTCTCCTCTAATCTTTATTATCTCTCTTCTTTTGCTTGGTTTAGGCTTTATTTGCTGTTCTTTCTCCAGTTCCTTTAGGTGCAAGGTTAGCTTGTGTATTTGAGATTTTTCCAATTTTTTGAGGGAGGCTTGTGTTGCGATGTATTTCAGTCTTTGGACCGCCTTTGTCATATTCCAAAGATTTTGAACACTTATACTTCCATTTTCATTAGTTTCCATAAATCTTTTAAATTCTTCTCTAATTTCCTGGTTGACTAATTCATCTTTTAGTAGGATGCTCTTTAACCTTCAAGTATTTGAGTTCCTTCCAAATTTCTTCCTGTAATTGAGTTCTAGTTTCAAAGCAATGGGGCCTGAAAATATACAGGGGATAATCCCAATCTTTTGGTATCATTTAAGACCTGATTTGTGTCCCAGTATGTGGTCTATTTTGGAGAAAGTTCTATGTGCACTTGAGAAGAATGTGCATTCAGTTGAATTAGTATGGAATGTTCTGTATATATCTGTGAAAGCCATTTAGTCTAGTGTATCACTTAAGGCCCTTGTTTCTTTTTTTGTATATTTTTTTATTGGAGTTCAATTTGCCAACATATAGCATAACACCCAGTGCTCATTCCATCAATGCCCCCTTCAGTGCCCATCCCTTGTTTCTTTGGTGATGTTCATTTTTTTAATGTTTTATTATTATTTATTTATTTATGAGAGAGAGAGAGAGAGAGAGAGAGAGGCAGCACAGGCAGAGGGAGAAGCAGGCTCCATGCACCGGGAGCCCAACGTGGGATTCGATCCCGGGTCTCCAGGATCGTGCCCTGGGCCAAAGGCAGGCGCCAAACCACTGCTCCACCCAGGGATCCCCTCTTTGGTGATGTTCTGCTTAGAAAATCTGTCCTTTGCTGAGAATGCTGTGTTGAAGTCTCCTGCTATTAATATATTATTATCTATATATCTCTTTACTTTGGTTATTAATTGGTAGATATACTTGGCTGCTCCCACATTAGGGGCATAAATATTCATACTTGTTAGGTCTTCTGGTTGGATAGACCTTTTATGTATGATATAATGTCTCTCTTCATCTCTTATTACAGTCTTTGGTTTAAAATCTATTTATCTGATATGAAGATTGCTACCTCAGTTTTCTTTTGAGGACCATTTGAATGGTAAATCGTTCTCCACCACCTCATTTTCAATCTGGAGGTGTTCTTAAGCCTAAAATGAGTCTGTTGTAGACAGCATATAGATGGGTTGCTTTTTAATCCAGTCTGTTACCCTGAGTCTTTTGATTGGATCATTTAGCCCATTCACTTTCAGAGTAACTATTGAAAGAGATGAATTTAGTACCATAGTATTACCTATACAGTCCCTGTTTCTGAGGATTGGTTTTTTTGGGGTGCTTTTTCCTTCACTTATAGGGTCCCCCTTAATATTTCTTGGAGAGCTTGTTTGGTGGTTACATATTCTTTCAGTTTCTGTCTATCCTGGAAACTCTTTGTCTCTCCTTCTATTCTATTGAGCCTTGCTGGGTAAAGTATTTTTTTTTCTTGGATAAAGTATACTTGGCTGCATGTTTTTCTCATTTAGTACCCCGAATATATCATGCCAGCCCATTTCTGGCCTGCCAGGTCTCCATGGATAGGTCTGCTGCTAATATGATATTTCTCCCCATATAAATTAGAATCTCTTGTCTTGAGCTGCTTTTAGGATTTTTTCTTTATCTCTGAAATTTGCAAGCTTCACTATTATATGTCGGGGTGTTGATCAGTTTTTATTGATTTTGGGGGGCTCCTCTCTATCTCATGGATATGAATGCCCACTTCCTTTCCCCGATGAGGGAAGTTCTCAGCTATAATTTGTTCATATATACTTTGTGGTCCCCTCTCTCCACATCTTCTGCAATCCCAATGAGGTGAATATTATTCCTTCTCAAACTATCACTTATTTCCTGAAGCCTCTCCTTGTAGGTTTTTAATTGTTTTTCTCTTTTTCAAAACCTAAACTTCCTTCCTTCTATCAACTTGTCTTCTATGTCACTCTCACTTCTACCTCATTAACCCCAGCAGTTAGAGCATCCACTTTAGATTGCATCTCAGTTAAAGTATTTTTAATTTTGGCCTGATTAGATCGAAATTCTGCAGTAAGAAAATCTCTAGAGTCCTTTATTGCTTTTTTCAAGAGCTACCAATAACTTTATAATTGTATCCCTGAATTGTATCTCTGACATGCTACTTAAATCCATATCCATTAGATCTGTGGCAGAGAGTATTACTTCTGGTTCTTTCTTTTGTGGTCAATTTTTCCTTCTAGTAATTTTGTCCAGTGCAGAATGGCTGTATGAGGGAGCAGCGTCAAAAATAACAACCATAACCTAAAGGAAACACACCCTAGACAATTCCGAAGAGGTCAGGGAGCAGAAGAGAAAAGAAAAAGAAAAGAAAGGAAAAGAAAAGAAACCCCATGAAAGTGAAAAAATTTTAAAATAGTAAAAAATTAAAAAATAAGGGTGGGGAGGAAGTGGTTGGGGAGAGAGAATATAGTCTCAGAGTGGACCAAGAGGGTAATCCTCTTGCTTCGGAGTGTACTTTGTTTTGTATGTTAGAAGGTGCTTGGGGAATCCCCGGGTGATTCAGCAGTTTAGTGCCTGCCTTCAGCCCAGAGTGTGGTCCTGGAGTCCCGGGATCGAGTCCCACATTGGGATCCCTGCGTGGGGCCTGCCTCTCCCTCTGCCTGTGTCTCTGTCTCTGTCTCTGTCTTTCTCTCTCTCTGTCTGTCTTTAATGAATAAATAAATAAAATCTTTAAAAAAAAGAGGTAATAATTTCCAAATTTATATAAAGCAGCAAAAACTTATATAGAGACACAACAGTTACCACAGAAACAAAAACAAGATAAAAGAGGGGGGTGCAGAATGGGAAGGAAGAGAGGATATAATCTCACAGAATGAACCAACATGGTGTTTCACTTGGTTCTGAGTGTGTTTTGGTTTGTATGTTAGAAGGTACTAAATTCCAAAATTATAAAACAAAACAAGGCTAAAAAAAAAACCCAACCCACAACTTATATATCTACAAAAATTAAATTTAATATGTTGAAAGGAATCCAAAAATTAAGAATATATCTATAGCATGTAATTGTAAAAATAATGAAAGTCAAAAAGGAAAAAACTTAAAAGTGAAGAGTTGATAAGATATCGGAGTTATAGCAGGAAAAAAAATATTGGATATTTTTAACTGGAAAGGTAAACAACTTATAAGGGAAAAACCTCAAGTTCTAGAAATTATTTTCCCTCAGTTATGGAGCTTTCCAGTGCTGCTTGGTCAGTAAATTTGCTATTCCCCTGTTCTTCCAGCTGTTCTGGGGGAAGGGCCTGCTGCACTGATTCTCAGGTGTCAAGGACAGAGATGCCCTGCCTTTGGCCTGGCATGAAGCTGATTGTCCTGTGAGGCCTTTGTTTCCCAGAGGCCCTGCCCCTCCCAGGTGAAAGAAAAGAAAGGGCAGTGGCCAGATCTCCAGCCCTGAAGGCAAAAGCTCCCCAGGTGTACCAAGCTGCAGTCTCTCAGTGCATACTGGTTTAGCTCCTCCCGGGAGCATGCATGGGGGCACTGATTTGTAGAAATTTGTAGGGGCCTAGCAGCAGGAGAGCTTTCCCTGTCTTGTGCACTCCTCATTCCTCCTTTCCCAGAGGGAATGGAAGATAGCTAGCTTCTGTATGTTTCCTGGCCCTGGGACAGAAAGTGCTGTGCTGCTGGATTTGTGCCCCTGGAAGGGATGGAGGATAGCCTGTTTCTGTCCACTGCCAGGCAAACTTCCCAGCCTGCCTCTCCCAGATGCCCCAGGAGGATTGCTGCATTCCAGTCCTGTACTGCAATCCGACTGCAGTTTGCACTTTATGGTACCAGTTAAGCTTTCTCCTGGGTGCCCCTATTTTTACTGTGTCTCTAGGAATATTGAGACTTCACTGCTCCTCCTGCGATTCTGCTATATTTCCCCCACTGAGCCCTTTCCAGTCAGGGAAGACTCTCTCAGGGGCAGATTTCTAAAGTTTCCAATTCTGCACTGCACTGTTTTCCTGCAGTGACTTTCCAAGGCTCCCTCCCCCACTGGTTATCTTCTGATATATCCCCTCCATTCCTCTTCTCTGCCTTCCTGCCTTGTAAGAAGTGATCACTTTTCTCTCTAGCATTCTAGCTGTTCTCTTTTTATACCTCAGGTTGAATTCATAGGTGTTCAGGAAGGTTTGAAAGTTATCTAAGTCTAGGGGACCAGATGAAACAAGAACCCCTACTCTTCTGCCATCTTGCCTCCTTCTCATTGTCTCATCACTTGAAGTTAATTTTTGTACATGGTATAAGGTCAGATCCAACTACATTCATTTTCATGGATATCCAGTGTTCCCACACCATTTGTGGAATACATTTTTTCTCCATTGAATGGTCATGACAACCTTATTGAAATCATTGAACCACATATGACAGAGTTTGTTTCTGGGGTGCCTATTCTATTCCATTTGTCTCTATGTCTTTATATCACACTCCTGTTAAGGTGGTTACTGTAACTTTGAAGTCAGGAAGTAGGAATCTTTCCCCTGATGATGTGGTTGCTGGCCATGTGAAGGGAAGAGATTCCTGGTGCTGATATTACAGAGACATCCAGGCGGAGCAGACACATGACTGAGGACCAGAATGTGAGGGATGGTGGAGGGTGAAGCCCTCTCCTTATAGAGCATCACCTGAAAAAAGACACTTATCCTTCTGCAGACAGGAGAGCCATATTCTTGAGTACATTTACAGAGCCTGCTGGGGCTCTCAGATGGATGAGATCTCAGAGGAAGATGTGTGGCCTCAGGCCAATTCTCATTCATCACCTCCTGTGTTTCTCTGCAGAGCCAGTGCCAAAGCCCTCTCTCTGGGTCACCAACATCACAGTCACAGAAAATAGGGACTCTGTGGTCCTGACTTGCTCCACAAGTAATGCGGGGGTCTCTATCCAGTGGTTTTTGAATGGCCAGAATCTAAAGCTCATGGAGAGAAGGAACCTGTCCCAGGGCAACAGCAACCTGACCATACACCCTGTCAAGAGGGAGGATTCTGGGAATTACCAGTGTGAGGTCGCCAACCCCGTCAGTTCCAGTAAAAGTGACCCCATCAAGCTGGATGTGATCTGTGAGTGACCCTTGACCACTCACCCTTCCTTCAGTATATTTTGCTGGGAGGGGATATCAAACAGATGCAGCCTCAGAGAAGGCGAGAACCTCCTTCATAGTGTGTAGGACAATGTGAATAAGATCTCCAGAATTAAATTAATCTTGTCAGCATTTTGGTTCTGATATGTATCAGCTGTTGGACATCAGGCAAGATGCTCAACCTGCTAAATTTCATTGAGCTTATGAGATGAAATCCTGAGATAGTATCATACACAGATTTAGGACTCAATGAAATTTAGAGGTATTTTTCCTTTATTAAGTTTTTGTTACTAGCTGTAATGTCACGTGGACTTGAGATTAAGTGCTGTATTATCAAGTTCCAGCTCTGTGACCTTTACTGATTTGGATAAGCCCTTTAAACGCTCAGATACTCATTTTGCACAGTGGGGATGATACCCAGCCCCTCATGGCAGGAGAAGAAGCAGATGAAATAATATTTCTCTTGTGCCTTGCACAGAGCTGACCTCAAAAGCAGTCAGCTAATGTTATTCTCTTTAATCAGTACTGAATGGACAGGTAAGGGCCTTCCTTTAAGACCAACAATGATGATAAAAAAGGAAGACAGAGAGGAAGAGGTATAATATGAGAGGATGAACAGTCCCAGAGGTGGGGGGACAATGTAAAGATTAGAGAAAGTCCAAGGTTTCACTGTGAGGAACAGAAATGGTGAAGCAGTCGGGGGTGAGGACTCTGTGGTGACAACACACACACACCACCCAGACCTCAGTGGCCTTGCCTTACTCCCTAAGCAGGCCCTTCCCCCACCGCCCCTCTTGGTGTCCCCAGATTCAACTTGGGACTCGTTCCCCTCCCTTTTTCTTCTTATTTCAGATGAAAGAAGCACCACAGGCCTCCCTGTGAGGTCCATCATTGGCACTGCACTTGGGGTTCTGCTTGGAATAGCACTCACGGCTGCCCTGGGGTGTCTCTTGCTCTGCACAAGGACTGGAAGGTACGATGGCATTTCCCACAAACTTATCCTGTCCCACAGCTCACCCCCAGACAGGAAGACCCTGTCCTGACCCATGATTCTGGGCTGGCTCTTCCAGGCCTCCCATCTGCCCCCTGGGTTTTCCCTCTCATTGCATCAGGCTCCCTCCTGACTACCTGCTGACCTGGGTGCTTCATTCACAGCCTCCTTGGTTATAAATTAGGGGCAACTAGGAAACAGCTCCTCAGGGTTGTCCTGGTTCACTTATCAAATCTACAGCAATGCTGTAAGTGATCAATAACAGCACCTCCCCATAGTTTATTTAAGACTATACACCATGTGAGGTGGATTTGTGACCTCAGGATATGAGGGTGGTCCTGGCCAATGCCACCCAAGGGAGACTGGAATAACCTGCCAGGCCAGGCAGGGTCATCCCCCAAAATGGAAGATACGGGAATCAGAGCCTCTGTTGTGTGAGATCAGAGAACCTGGGCTTATCCAGGGAGAGATCCTGTGACATGCTTTATGCCTCTTCCAGGCAGATAGAGATGGAATAAATAAAGACTGTTGTCACATTACAGCATCTTCTGGCCTGAGGGAGTGAGGGTCTGACCACATCAGGGATCCAGCATAGGGCTCCCCACATGTCCTGAACATACACCTGCAGCCTTTCCCCTTCTGCTCAGTCAAACCCTCACGTTTGATTCCTCTCCTGGGTCCTCCATCCCTTTTCAGGACAATTTCTCCTAGATTTCATTGTCTGCGGATCTTCCCCTCTGGGCCTGGGACAGATGTGCTCCCAAGGCCTTTCCTTTCCCCTCTCCTGGGCCCTTGCTTTCCTAATCAGCAGTGGTGGAGAGAGGAATTCTTGAACTCCTGCCTGAATGAGGATTTTCCTTTTCCCCTGCTCTGACACCAAATGCTGTGACTTCACCCTGCACCCCTCACCCATAAGCATGATCTCTTCTAGGGCCAGTGCCTGGCATGATGTCAGAGAGCTCTGGCATCCAGCATCCACTGCCCGTGAGTATTGTTCAACCCTGGTAGTACTGGGAGCCCCATAGATCTGCCCCACAATGTCCACTCCTGGAGTCACCCCCTTGGCTTCTGACTCTTTCTCTGGGGCTTCAGCCAGGGTACCTCCACTACCTATAATCCCTGACCTCTGGAAATCTGATCATTAGTCAGCACCTGGCCATCACTGGGCTCTAAAATGGACCATCAGTCTCTCCCTGGGAGGTTCTCCTTTTGTGGTTCTCTGAGAGCTAAAGACATGTCCCTGACTGGGAAGGTGAGCTCAAGCTTCCTCACAGCCCTGGGTGCTAATTCCTGTCTCTGCTCTCAGGCCATGGTCCAGCCAGCAGCAACACATCCCCGGTAAGCTCACTCCCCCTCTCTCTTTCCACTGGGGACCAGGCTGTGCAGGCTCGATGCAGGGCCACCAATCAATTCCACAGGACAACACAAGCCCTGTGTCCCTCAGTAGCCAGGACAAGGCAAGCCTCATTCCAGCAAAGAATGGATCAACCCTCTCCTGGGGCAGGACCAGCCCCCACCATGTACTGAGTTTTCCCTGTTCCCTGGCCGAGTGTGAACCCTGGAGGTCATCCAGGGGCAGATGGGCACTGAGAGCATCAGCCAGGGGTCAAGAGCTAACAGGATTGGGGCAGAGAATGCAGTGGGGAGTGGGCTGGGACAGGGGTTTGGGTTAGCAGGCTTGGAGAAGGCTGCTCAAGAGGCAGATCTGGTCACTCCTTCTCTGTTATCAGCACCCATTCTCTTCTGTTTAGGACTCACTGTCCAGCCCCATGGCAGCAGTTTCTATCTACCAGGTGAGTAGGGCAATGGATGTTCTGGTTCCTAAATCCCAAGGGGCTGAAGATATGCCTCTAGCCTACCCCTGGCTGTGAATTCAGGTTCAGGAAACAGCAGAGTAAAGCAGAGTAGGGGATGGTAGGGGAAAGAAGGGGCCTGTGGCAGGGACCTGCCACACAGCCAGGCTCCCAGAGAGCAGCCCTATTATGCCTGGAACCTGAAAGTCTCCCAGATATGTTCTAAGAGGGTTACAGGGGTTCAGAGGCTTCTTCTTGTTTTACAGGAATTACAACACCCTGACACAAACATTTACTGCCAGATTAAACCCAAAGCAGAAGTAGCTTCTTAGTTTCCCCATGGTGCTGCTCCTTGCATGGACCCTCCTGAGACCTCAGACCTAAGTGGTATTGGGAGCCGCTATCTGAGCCAGAGAATCAGCAATAAACCTTGAGGATATTCAGGGACATGGATCAATTCTGGTCAAGTTCATCAACCTTCTCTACAAACTGCTGGTGAGCAGCCTGGACCTGGTCATCTGACTGTGGAGTCACTTCCTCCAGTGATATGCACAGCACCCTCACTGCCCTAGGTGGTGGAGACAGAGGCCAGTCCATCTCCACATGCTCCTTGTTAAGAATGAAGAAAAAAAAAAAAAAGAATGGGAGAAAGCAGACACACCTAGAAGATCAAGGCTCCCAAGCCCTGGGAAGGCCTGAGGGTCCTCAGCACCATGGACAGCGTCTCAGCCCTCCTCCTCCCAGGACTTGAGCAGGGAGGAGGCGATGAGGGACTGCTGGAGAGGCTGCCCATTTCTGTTCTGCAGAAGAGAGTGCAGTGAGGCAGAAATAGCATTCTCATGGGACAACCCGATTCTGCTCTCATCTCTCAATCCTAAACACCTTACACATGTGTGGATGTTCCTCTCTGGCACAACTATTCCAGCTCCCTGCATGGCTGATGGCTGCCTCCAGAGTGTGTCCTCAGGGCAGCTGGGAGTCTGCTCCAGCCTCTTGGGAGACCACCTGCCCCCTGAGATTCAAGCCACTCCCTTGCCTACTGAAGGCAGGAATGTTTCATGATGAACTTCTGACCCTTCATGCCTGACCTTGGAAACACCCCTTACCCATCACCCAGCCCCCCTGAGCACAACATCCTGTTTCCTGAGCCCCAGCTGAGCCTCCCAGGCAGCAGGGCTGAGCAGAACCCTGGGATCTTCCCCCAGCTCCTCCTGACTGAGCCCTGTGCCTGGTGTCAGAGTCCTTTGCCCTCTGCCTGCCCTTCTGGGCAGAGCAAACGTTCCACCCAAGGGCAAGTGGAGCCTGAAGATCTCCCAGGGTAGAAGCCAACATTTGAGGGTTCCTGCATCTGCCTGTGACCCCTCAGAGGGAGAGAAAAGACTAGGCCCCTCAGAGCCTTCCCCATCTCCTCCTTCACATAGACATTCTACCCACAGAACCAACTCTGATGTTACGGACCCAGCCCTGCCCTTCTATGGGGCTCAGGTCCATTCTGTCCACTGACAGTGTCCAACATAAGGGCCACCTGGGTGCTCTTCTCTTTGATTTCTTTCTTTCTTTCTTTCTTTCTTTCTTTCTTTCTTTCTTTCTTTCTTTCTTTCTTTCGCTTTTAGTTGGGTTCCCTTTGCTCTTATTTTTCTAGTTCTTGTGGTAAACTTAGATTATCAATTTGAGATATTTCCTCACTTCTGGGTACAAATTCCCCACTCAGGGTGGCTCAGAGGTTTGGTGCCTGCTTTTGGCCCGGGGCGTGATCCTGGAGTCCCTGGATCAGGTCTCACATATGGCTTCCTGCATGGAGCCTGCTTCTCCCTCTGCCTGTGTCTCTGCCTCTCTCTCTCTCTCTCTCTGTGTTTCTCATGAATAAATAAATAAAATGCTTAAAAAAAACACAAATTCCCCACTCAGCACAGGATAAGCTGCATCCCCCAAATAGTGAAGATTCTTTTTGTGTATTTAATTTAATTCTGTGTATTTTTAAAATTTCTTTTGAGACTAGCTTTTTGATCCATAGTTTATTTACGTATATGTATCTTACTTTCCAAATGTTTCGGAGATTTTTCTTTTATTGATTTCTAGTTTGATTACTATTTTTATTTTTTTAAAGATTTTATTTATTTATTCATGGGAGACACACAGAGGCAGAGAAACAGGCAGAGGGAAAAACAGGCTCCCTGTGGGGAGCCCAATGTGGGACTCCATCCCAGGGCCCCAGGATCACAACCTGCGCCAAAGGCGGTTGCTCAACCGCTGAGCCACCCAGGAGCCATGATTACTATTTTTAGAGAACATTCTCTGATTTCAATTATTTTAATTTTGCTTAGGGGTGGAACTCATGGGTGGCTCAGTCAGTTAAGGTCTGCCTTCATCTTAGGTCATGATCCCAGGTTGGGGTAAAGCCTCCCTCCATCAAGTTTCACATGGGCCCCCTCCTCAGTGGAGGGCCTACTTCTCACTCTGCCCCTCCCTCTGCTTGTGCTCCCTCCCTCTCTCTCTCTCTCCATAACAAATAAATAAAATCTTTGAATATATTTGATGGGCACCTGGGTGGCTCAGTCAGTTAAAGGTATGCCTTCAGCTTGGGTCATTTTCCCAGGGTCTTGGGATCATGCCCCACATTGGCCTTCCTGCTCAGTGGGGAGCCTGATACTCCCTCTGCTACTCTTTCCTGTGCTCTCTCACTCTCTCTCTCTAAAAAATAAATAGTCTTAAAATAAATTTGGTTTGGGGCACCTGGCTGCCTTGGTCAGTGGAGCTTGTGTCTCTTGATGTCAGTATCGTTAGTTTGAGCCCCCAAAGGGGTGAAAGAAGTGGTTATTTCAAAACAATGTAAATGGGGTTAGCTTTAGATAGGACACCAAACATAAGCAATGGAGAAGGATGAATTGGATATCTTTTCATTTGGCCATTCTTTTTAGCAGGTCAGCTGGCAACAAATTTTCATATTCTTCCTCCATCTGAAAATTTCCTTATTTCCCCTTTACTCCTGAGGATCATTTGCCAGAGACAGGATTTGTCCTCCACTTAAAAAACAGGCCACTTCCTTCTGGCCTCCATGCCATCAGATATAAAACCTACCGTCACTTGAATCAGTGTTCCTTAATATGCAATGGGTTGTTATTCTGGCTGTTTTTCAAGACATTCTTTTCTCTTGTTTTTAGTTTTCAGAAATTTGCCATGTGTTTTAGTGATGCTTATCATGTTCGGGCTTCACTCAAGCTAAATTTGGACTATTATTTCTTCAGAACTTTTTCAGTCCATACTTTTTTCCTTCTTCAGGTATGCAGTAGCACCAGTGTGAGATCCTTTCTTTTTTAAGATTTATTTATTTATGGGATGCCTGGGTGGCTCAGCAGTTGAGCATCTGTCTTTCACTTAGGGCGTGATCCTGAGGTCCAGGATCAAGTGCCGCATTGGGGTCCCTGCAGGGAGCCTGCTTCTCCTTCTGCCTATGTCTCTGCCTCTCCCTCTATGTCTCTCATGAATAAATAAATAAATATTTTTTTTATTTTTAAGAGTTTTTAAAAATTTATTCATGAGAGACAGAGAGAGACACAGGCAGAGACACAGGCAGAGGGATAAGCAGGCTCCATGCAGGGAGCCCAATGTGGGACTCAACCTGGGGACCCTAGGACCATGCCTTGGACTGAAGTCAGGCGCTAAACCGCTGAGCCACCCAGGGATTCCAATAAATCTTTTTTTAAAGGTTTATTTATTTATTTGAGAGAGAGAGAGAGAGATGCTCCTGAGAATGGGGAGGGCAGAGGGAAAGAATCCTCAAGCAGATTCCCCACTGAGCAGGGAGCCCAGTGCAGGGCTTGACCTCAGGACCCTGACATCATGACCTGAGCCCAAATCAAGAGACCACAAGTCAAGGAGTATTAGCAGACTCCAGAAACTGGAAAAGGCAAGAAAATGGATCTACCTCCAGAAAGGAATGTGGACTTGCAAATATCTTTATTTTAGCTCAGTAAAACCCATATTGGACTTCTGACCTCCCAAAACATAAGATAAGAAATGTCTGTTGCTTTTGAGCTGTGGTGTTTGTGGTTATTTGTTACAGCAGTAACTGGAAGCTAATGTAGACATCATAGTAGATTATATTGTTGTATTAATATCAAATTGGGGGAACTCGAGTATCATTCATTGGATATATAGGAGAAAATCCTGGTTCTAATGAGATATCAGCTGAAGTTAGAATGAAGTATTAAGACACCTATAACTTTCATTTGATTCATCAAAAAATCATATATATATATACATATATATAAAATTAAGGTTTGTATGCATGCTAATGAATATATTTACATCTATACACATAGAATACACATGTGGCATTGGTAAATAAGCATGAAAGATATATGAGAGTTCCCTCTAATAGTCTTGCAACTTTCTCTAAGTTTGATGTTTTGTAATTGGTGGGGCCTAATATTTTAAAAGTACATACAAAGTGTTTCCAAACAATATTGTATGATTTCTAATATTGGATCCAGTGGGTGGAGGAGTAGAAGGGAGATAGGTACAGCAAGGTTCACAGGAGTTGATACTTTGGAGCTGGAGATGGGTACATGGGGGCTCAGGATACTATCAGGATACTATTCTCTCTGATATAATGAACTAGAGTCCATTTGTACACGTTTGTATACAAACTCTCTTTGTATATCTGAGATTTTCCATATGAAAAGATTTTAAGGAAAGAGAATACATTTTCCACTTCATAAGTTTAATCAGTTTCATAGAACTTTCAAGACAAATCGTCTCAAAATCAGACAAGTTCATCCATAGAAAAGAGAGACTATCCCCCAACTCATTCTGAGGTTACTATAACCTTTAAATGGAAAGAGGACCAACAACCAATGTACAAAAAGAGGAAAGTATCAGGCCAGTCATCCTGATGTACAGAGAGGCAAAAATGCTAGACAAGGTATTCTCAAACCAAATTCAACAGTACATAGAATAAGATAGTAGACCAGGACTAAGTTCAGTTTGTCCCAGGAAAACAAAGGTGATTGAACACTAGAAGAGTATAAATGGGGGGGCACCTGGGTGGCTCAGTGGGAGAAGTGGCTGGCTCTTGATTTTGGCTCAGGTCATGAAGTCAGGGCCCTGGGTTAGATCCCCTTATGAGGCTCAGAGTTCAGTCAGGAGTCTCCTTGTTTTTTTTTTTTTTCTCTCTCTCTCCTTTCTTTCTTTCTTTTAAGATCTATTTATTTATTCATGAGAGACGCAAAAAGACAGAAAGAGACAGGCAGTGAGAGAAGCAGGCTCTCTGTGGGGAGCCTGATGGAGGACTCAACCCTAGGACCACAGGATCCTGACGTGAGCCAAAAGCAGTTGCTCAACCACTGAGCCACCCAGGTTTCCTCCTTGTGGATTTCTCTCCCTGTGCTCCTGCCCATCCCTGCTCTCACAAATAAATAAATATATCTTTTTTAAGAAGGCATTTATAACTGGAAGAGAGCTGGAACTTCTTGGATGCTAACAATGTTCTGTTTCCTGATCTAGCTGCCAGATTCATGGGCGTTTTTGAAAACTCAGTAAGCAAAACATTTCACTATGTAATGGTCCTCTACCTCCTCAACTTTTTATAATATAAACTCTTTAAAAGACCACCAGACATGCTGTCATATAGGATGTCCATATTCTGACTTTGTTTCCTTATGGTGTCATCACTTGGTTCTCTAAACCCTATACTTCCCATTTATTGGAAAATGAATACCAAAGCTTAAATAGAATCAAGTTACGTTTTTTCATCAAGAATGCTTCTTGGGTTTTATATTGCATCATATTAAGAGGCCTTTCTTAACTAGTTGTCTAGACTTATGCCAGTGTAACTATTTTAGTGACAAAAATTGATGAGTGGGCATTTTCTAAAGGTTCTATTTAAATTCCAGTTAGTTGGGGCTCCTGAGTGGCTCCGTCAATTGAGCATCTGACCTTTGGTTTCAGATTAGTTCATGATCTGGGGTCATGGGATCAAGGTCTGCATCAGGCCCCAGTGCTCAGTGGGGAGTCAGCTAGAGATCCTCTCCCACTCCCTCTGCCCTGCCCCACCTCAAAAAAAAAATCTTTAGGGATCCCTGGGTGGCGCAGCGGTTTGGTGCTTGCCTTTGGCCCAGGGCGTGATTCTGGAAACCCGGGATCGAATCCCACGTCAGGCTCCCGGTGCATGGAGCCTGCTTCTCCCTCTGCCTGTGTCTCTGCCTCTCTTTCTCTCTCACTGTGTGACTATCATAAATAAATAAAAAAAATTTAGAAAAAAATCTTTAAAATTTAAAGAATAAAATAAAATATATTGCAGTTAGTTAACATATAGTGTAATATTAGTTTCATCTGTACAATATGGTGATTCAACACTTTCTTACAATACCCAGTGCTCATCAGAACAAATGCCCTCCTTAACCCCATCTCCTATTTCACTCATTCCCCCACATATCTCCCTTCTGGCAACCAACAGTTTATTATTTATAGTGAAGACTTTGTTTCCTCATTTGCCTCTCTCTGTGTCTCTCTATTTCCCTATTCTAATTTGCTTTGTTTCTTAAATTCCACAGGAGTGAAATAATATGGTATTTCTCTGTCTCTGACTGACTTATTTCACTTATATAATACATTAAATCTCCATCCACATTGTTTCAAATTACAAGGCTTCATTCCTTTTTGTGGCTCAGTCTTATTCCAATGTGTGTGTGTGTGTGTGTGTGTGTGTGTATCATATCATCTTTATGCATTCACCAACTGACGGACATTTGGGCTGTATCTATAGTTTGACTATTGTAAATAATGCTGCTAGCAACATCAGCATGTGTGTATCAATTTGAATTAGTATTTTATTTCTCTGGGTAAATACCTAGTAGCTAAGTTCCTCGATCACAGGGTAGTTCTATTTTTTAATTTGAGGGACGTTTATACTGACTTCCAGAATGGCTTCCCAATTTACATTCCCAGCAACAGTGCAGGAGTGTAACCCTTTCTGACTAGTGGAATTTTTTTTGTGCAAAGACACAGGTATGCAGAAATAACAAGTATAGAAAAATATAGAGTATGCCACTCCTCAACATAATAAAAGCTGTATATGGCAATTCCCAGTGAACATCATACACAATGATGAAAGGTTGAAAGCTTCCCTACTGGAACGAGAAACAGACAAGGGTGCTCATTCTCACCACATTTATTTGGCATAGTACTGAGAGTCTTAACCAGAGCAATTAGGCAAGAAAATAAATAAAAGATGTTCATGCCAGAAAAGAAGAAGTAAAACTGTCTGTTTGTAGATGACATGATCTTATGTACAGAAAACTCTAAAGGCTCCATGAAAAACTGTCAGAACTAATAAACAGATCAGGAAGCTGCAGGATGCAAAATCAATATACAGATATCAGTGTATTTCTATAAAGATTTATTTATTTATGTATTTATTATTTATTTTATTTTTTCTTTATTTGACAGAGAACAAGCAGGGGGAGTGATAGAGGGAGAGGGAGTAGCAGACTCCCCGTCCAGCAGGGAGCCCCTGGCGGAGCTTGATTCTGGGCTCCTGGGATCATGACCATAGCAAAGTAAGATGCTCAATCAAATGAGTGACCCAGGCTCCCCAGAAGTCAGTGCATTTCTATACACTAACGAATAACATATGGCAAAGTATCTGGAAGATAAATAAAATCATCCCATTTATAATGGCATCAGAAACAATGACATACTTTGTTCTGGAGGTGCCATGAGGGGTGGAGGCAGGCACCTGGAGGCAGGCAATA